CCATAACATTATGTTTTTTTACAAGTGTATGTAAACTTTTGACCACAACTCCTTATATGGTGTTTTTGGGGTGGTAATTACGCTAATCTCCTCTCGCGTGCACGAGCATGGTGCTTTTGTGGATACAAACGGGTGGAATTTACGCAGCTCATTTACACACTTTTCCTGAAGATAGAAGAGTTTGTTGAATCTGACGTGACATGTTCGTACGAACCCTTTGTACGAACAAAAGTAAGAGAAATTTAGGATAAGAATACGAACATGTTCTTGCATGAGGCCCATTGTGTCTATACATCCTAGCCTGGTAAAAACCAGACTCTTGTCCTTCACTTTGCTTCGTACGAGGATCTGGACTCTCTGCTTTAGAGAAGAAATTCTTGCTGGAGGCGTGGCCTCTGCTGAAGTTTAAAATGATTGGATCGTACCGAGCTGAACGASACGACTACATGAGAGCTGCTGCTTTAACAGACAAATTTAATTTAATATGAAAGCCTTATCAACACGGCCTGGCTTCATTCACTTCCTCCACTGCCGTATGCTAAAATAACTAGCAGACACTGCGCAGAAAATCAACGTTCTGTTCTCTGATTGGTCCGGACAAAATGCTCCTGAAGAACTCGTGTCTATGGGAGAAATGCCAGACGGTGCAGTGAAGTGAAACTAGAACTGAGCAGAACTGTAGGAAGGCAGGGGCCAGGCTAATACATGCAATAAGTTCTAAAATAGTTCTTTTGTTATCAGACACTTAGTTACTTTAAGTATCTTTAGACAAACCTGACATGTTTCCATGTTTTACTTTGAAACATCAACTGTGACTCCTCTGATGAAGAAACGTGTCAGGTTTGTGTGAAGAGACATAAAGTAACTCTGTCTGAAAACGAAAGACATATTTTAGAAACATTTTTAAAGATATTGAGCTAAAYGTATGTGGGGTAGTAGCTGAGAGTGATCCCCACCAGCTGAAAGCTAGTTAGCATGTCAAGATAGCTGAAGAAGCTAATTCAGCAAAAATCGTTGAAGCATTCTCACTTTGTCCAGTTAATTATACTTTAAATCTTCTTTTTTTTCCGCTTCTTTCTTTTTGACTTTTTCTGTTTCTTGGTTGTAGTTTCTGCTGTTGGTCCACCAGGGAGAAAGATCATTTTTATGATTTTAAAATGAACCGAGCTGCTGAACCTGGCCGACGAAGATCCTGACAGGTTGAGACGTCTCACTCTGTGAGTCTGTTTGTTTGCAGAATAACTCTGGTCCTGGCCTGTCCCATGGATCTGAAGAACTTCCCCATGGATGTCCAGACGTGCATCATGCAGCTGGAGAGCTGTGAGTGTCCACACACACACACACACACACACACACAGATTTCCAGGCTTACATACTTTCAGTTTCCTTGGCAGTCTTTGACACATTTTGCTTGGGTCAAATGTAACTTCAGAACAGCCACAGCTTGCAGGCCTCCTAGTCTCCTGCTCAACTCACATCATTCTCCATGCATCATTACAGCTGCAGAACCCGTGAGCCAATAAACAGCTCAGTGGCACTGGTCTTTCTTAAAGAAAAGAGTGGAACTGGAAAAACACAACCACACACACACACACACACACAGTCCATCACTCAGCCGTGGCAGGTGGAGAGATGCAGTATAGATTTCTCCCTCTCTGATCAAACGTGAGCTGCATCACAGAGCGGGTCCAAACGGTTCCTGTCAGTACAGAGACAAGAGCTCAGTGAACATGTGGTGATCAGACRGAACATCAGAACCCAGGAAGGCTGAGGAGTGGAAAAACAGCAGCTTTAGTTTTTTTATATCAGAGTCTCTGTTTTGTAAATCGATGGCTCGCTTCAGGTCAGGTCGGGTCGTTTAAAACTTTCGCACAGTTTCCTCTCGTTATAAAATGCTGTGAACCTTTAGCGCTCACATCAAGCTTCACCTCTTCCTCCACCTCRGATTATTCTCCCAATTTCCAAAAACGGCAACTTGCTGTACAGCATACTGTGAGCAGATCAAGATTAATGTCAGCTGGTTCGGATGTTATCAGTCCATTAAATGGACGTTATTAGCGGTTATCAGTCCTATAGAATGGCTTCAGACTGTCCTAACAGTGCCCCCTAGTGGGTTACCAGTGCCATATATGTTGGAATGCAACAATCTGCTACCGCTGGAGTCCGGTCTACTTTATCATAGCCCATGTTATTGTCTCTAAAATTAACCTTAGTGGCTTTATGCCTCATATTAACCAACTGACAGTCTGAAGCCATTCTATGGGACTGATAACGGCTGATAACGTCCATTTAATGGACTGATAATATCTGAAGCGGGTGTTAATGTTTTATCTGCTGTTTCGACTGTTTGGAGCTGGATTATTCAACTCCCAGTACTCTGTTTTTTTAAGTTACACTCGTATGGCTCCAAACTATTAGCTAACAGCTGTTTGTTGTCATCTTTTAAAAGTTGTTTTAGTGTCCTAAAATACTTTTTTTAACGCATACCCTAATTTTTCTGGATTATTCTTTTTTTCTTTGTTTAAAAATGATGAAAATGATTTTATTGTTTATGCATGAACATGTGTTTTTATTTTTGGAGTCAGGATCTAAAATGTAAAACAGAATATTCTGACAGTTTATGGACTGAAGCAATAATTAATGTGTCTGTAAGAAAATTTAGTGTTCGTTAAACTGGAATCGAGATGAAACCACAAAATAATGAATAGATTAAAATGTAAAAAGAAGTGGAACCATACAACCCAGATCTGGTTACAAGCGAAGCTTTATTGCTCCCGATTGGAGAAACAAAGCTGCGCTGCGCTGCGCTGCGCTGCGCTGCGCTGC